CTCTCTCTCTCTCTCTCTCTCTCTCTCTCTCTCTCTCTCTCTCTCTCTCTCTCTCTCTCTCTCTCTCTCTCTCTCTCTCTGTTCATGCATATACACCAGACTCACACACCCCTCAATTCGAAACTCTCACTGACCCCTGCAACAGTTCAAGTACATCCTGATCTCAACTCTCACTGACCCCTGCAACAGTTCAAGTACATCCTGATCTCAACTCTCACTGACCCCTGCAACAGTTCTAGTACATCCTGATCTCAGGGGTCAGTGAGAGTTGGACCCCTTCTACAAGGCTTCTACAGGTTCAACTGCTCTGTTCATTGGACTTTATCTAACAACCAAAAGGAAGAGCCAGAATAATTATTTTTGCACACCCACTTCGTAGGAGCTTGAGATGTGCTCAGGGGGTGTTGGCCACTGGAGATAAAGGCCAGCCCCTGGTGGTGCTATGTTTGTGCGAAGACATTGCGGACCCGGACGCAATGCTGGCTAAATTCGCGCTAGCATGGCACAAACATAGAACCAGTGGGTCTTGGCCCTGACTCACATGTGGAAAGCACCACGTTCAAAGCGGGTGCCCTCGGCAAAACCCCAAATCTTGGACTGAACTGAAGCATTCTTGGCGAACAGCTGAACATTCCCGTCGTGCCTCGTTGACAAAGGGGGGAGGAGGGGCAGGCCCCAATGGTGCTATGTTCCTGCATGGAATGCATGAACCTAGTCCTAGAAACAACCAGTTTCATGCTTTCTAGGCACGAACATGGCACCGGTCTCGCCACACTCTAAACTGTAACCACTCTCTCACACACGTGGGAGTCTTGGCTGCCTTCGAAGTTCTGCAAAAAAAATCGATACCCTCCCCCCTTCCCCCCCCACCCAGCTCTCCACCTCTTAGCACTGCCTACACCCCTCTTGGCAGTGGCCTGTTCACCTCTTCATTCTCCCCCAGCGAAGGGATGACACATACACAGAGCTGTATGTTTGTGACCCTCCCTAAGCTTGATTATTGTTCAGCGAAGGGAAGTGAACGTGGGCCGCGGGAGGGAGGGATCTGGCTGAAAATGTGTAGTGAATACATCCTTCGAATCTGGTCGCGAACAGCGGAAGCCTGGCTTCATTCACCTGCTTGGCAAGAACAAGGTCGTACTCACGCTGCTTGGAGTCATTCGAAGGGATCTGGCTGGAAAATGTGTGCTGAATGCATACATCGCAGAAGGTCCTCCTAGTGTATGTATGCTCTACAAGAGACATCGTCCCCCCCAGCCTTCTCTCCGAGCTCTCCCCCACCCCCGCCCCCCCTCTCTATGGACTCGCCCCCTCCCCAGAGGCTGATCAATGGCAAACAATCTCAGTTCCCCAGCGCAGCATTTACGTGACATTCAAAACCGGGGGATCATTAGGTACGCGGATATCCACGAGCACGTGTGTAAACTGCTCAGGATCGTTCGCAGACTTGTGCACAGCCGCAGTGTGATGGGAAGACTTTCTTTGGAGTGCCTGGAAGCTGACGTGTCCATTTGGAGTGATGATTGGCATCTGGAACACCATGTCCTTCGTGTGAGACAGCTTCCCATAACCATCCTTCTTTCCATACGCGAGAGAAGAGAGAACGAGGGAGACGTCGTTCCTACCATGCCGTTTCTTCTGCTTCTGGTACTTGGCCATTGTGTACCCGACGCCACCGAGCGTATTCATGACGATGCCAATCACGACCTGTCTTGTGGCGACCACTCCGCCGAGCAAAAAGAACCCGAGAGTCTGTTTGTCGAGCAACAGCAAGAGAGATATACACAGTCAAGACAACCAGACCAACATCACACACAGTGTTACGCACAATCCCGAGCAAGACAGCCAGGTTCGCTATACGGAGAACCACCTTCCCATCCCAACATCTCGACCCACCTAAAACCCTAGACACAAGAACTCAACTGACGGAATGGCATGATAGGTGAACTGGTTCTTCCTGTCATTGCATTGCAACCCTATTACTTAGTCATTCTGTAATCCTTTCCCTCCCTGACATACTGGCACCAGAACGGCTGCTGAGAATGCCAAGGAGTGGGATCTGTGGTGGTCCCCACTATGATGATCCCTCCATTATACCAAGTCACACACCCACACACACACACACACACAAAAAAAAAAAAAAAAAAAAAAA